GAAAAAAAACAATCGTACTTTTTTAAAGATTTATTAGCATGAAATTTTGCTCTCAATACATTCATACATGCACTTATATTCAGCATTGCTGGTGGACAAATGAAAGAGACAATAAACATAAACTTATAATAGACAAAAGAACAGACATATAGTAAATAATTCATCTCTTGGCGAATCAATACAGATAAAAGTTAAGAAGACCTAAAAGTTGAGTAGTAATAGCAAATAAAAACTTCAAAAGCGAAAGTCAATCTAAGAATTAAGTTAACAAGAAATAATCTATAATCTGTTTGATAGTGATAAATAAGACACATTTAGTGTTTCAAGTCTATTTCTTGACTGATAATAAATAAATTATGTAGCCAATACCTTATCATCAAATTGATTTTGCTTAAGCACAAACTAAAAGAAGTGTTGAAGTATATAGAAATAGAAATTTGGATCCATGTCCTTTCCCCTACAGATTGTGACAGACGTTATTAATGTGCAATCAAAGCCTATATAACACTAACATCTCATTACAATATATGAAACACGTCCGTGCTGCAGTTCTAAAGGATTGAGTAAAAGATGATAAAGAAATATGTCCCTAAGTAAATCGAATAAAAAAAAAGTTTCATGTAATTAACAACAACACTTACATCGTGTTTGGCATTTTAACCCGACAGAGATTGCGCTCTGAGCTTTTTTTCGTCACTACAGTGCATAACAAGATTATTGTTATTAATAAAATATTTTTAATCTTTCAGCACATATGATATAATATGTACAATGGCTCACTTTTCATGATCCAAATCCTATTCATGATAATTTACTTAAAATCTTGAAAAAATGTGAAGTACTTTTAAGTGTATCAGAAAAAAATAAAATATCATCATTTGTTGTGTATTACAAACGTCACTTATTCGTTGTTCATTTCTTTTATAAGTGTGCTTCTTAGAGTATATTTTTCTACTAATCGAAAAATAAAATACGAAAGAATTACTTTATAAGAAGTGACCAAAAACACGGCTTAAAATATGTTGAAAACAAAATCTTAGATAATAGAGAAGTAACCAAAATAAACTCAATGTTAAAGAAAAAAGACTACTATGTACGTTATAAGTACAGTATATGTTTAGAACGAACACAAACCTGTTTGACAATGCTGGTCGAAGGTTTTACTGTGGAGGTAACAATTACATTGTTAAATCTGTCTATTTTTCGAACAAATTTTGCCATACCATATTCATGAAGACATAACGCTTCGTTCTAAAAAAGTATACAAAACAAATCAAAATGCCGAAGATAATTACAAGAATCGTTTATCATTATATAGCATATAGAAGAAATGATACCTATCATCTGTTTCTAGCTTTGCAGGACACACACAACATATAGTGTAAACAAATTTTTTTCACATCCCGAGATAATAAATATCAGTCGATCATGACGAGTAATAATTGCTTTAGTATATTATTGAAGAATAATGATTCGTTTTATGGAAGCTGTCCCACAAAATAATCTGATTATTATTATACACTTACTATGCTATCATCTGCTATTGGTGATTTTCAAGTATGATGATAATGTTTCCTTCACAAATGACAATAATGGAAAGATATAAATCTTTTTTAACATTAATTAAATGATGTTATTTAAACATCTTTCTGTACCGGGTGAGCCAAAAATTTTGCAACATTTCTTTTTGTTTTACATGCATCTCTGTTCAGGTACATGATAGAGGACTGGTTTTTTTTAAAGATACCCCATTTAATACTCTATCAGAGTTACAAAACCAAATCATTTTAGCTCTTTTTTGAAATCTTAATAAATCAATAAAGGTGGAGATGTGTGTAGTCTCATTATAAGATATGTGGAAAATCCAGAAATTAGGAGTTTACAGTATGGATAATTAAGACTATCGTCCTCTATGACATACTTTAAGAGAACAGTAAACTTATTAGTGCAAAAAAAAACAGAAAATTTATCAATTTATTAATATTTGATCAGTATTATGTGGTTATTTCTGTTTGACATCTTTTCTTCATTTCAAAATAAACATATTATTTTTGACGTCGTTTTGTGCAACATTCTTTTTAGATCGTGTCGTTTTCTTTTGTTCTTTAGCAGCTTCAGTATGAACTGAAAGTGTATCAGCTAGGTGCCAGTGTAAGAAGATCACTGCTTTTTCAAAATATATTTTTGAAGAACATCACGAGAAAAATTCCTTCTTAGGAGATTGCGCCATGAAAAGTACACACAAATATCACAAACTTGTTATGTTTAAATTTAAAATAGATGATAACCTTTCTGTTTTAGTAGACTCACTATTCTTCTGCTTGTATTTAAATGTTGCACTCAAGAATGAATGAACGGTATTTGATATGGCTTGTTTAAAAATATTCAAAAGAGCTTAAAAGATGTGGTTTTGTAATTCGGATAGAGCATTAAATGGGGTATCTTTTGAAAAAAAAATCAATCTTCTATCGTATACTTGAACGGAGATACATGTAAAACAAAAAACGTTGCAAAAGTGTTGGCTCACCCAGTAACGATTATTTTGTTGATTTTTGTTTCAGAGTGCTATAATTTCAGTTAAAAACTATTATTTTTTCTTGTTTTGGCAACTCAATCATTCTTTTCTTTTTCAAATATCATTAGAATAATTCGATGTGTAAAAACTTTAAGTAGCTTTCTTTCTGTCGACATTAACAAAAAACATTTGTTATTTTATCAAAAAAGAAGCCATAAAAAACGAAAATGACGAACAAGAAATATGAATGCAATGAATATGCGAATTATAGAAAAGTTTTTGTCAATTAAAAGTTGATAATAAATTTTTTCTTAAAATTGAATTTCAAGATTTTTAAAAAGAAATACTGTTCTTGTCGAATATATCATAGATGTAATTCTCTTCTCATCGTTAACACGAATACAAATGGAACTTAAGTCTCTTTGATATAGAATCAATTGATTGTAATCTTGAGTTTTACTTTTCGATTATTTACATCTAATTTCTAATGATGTAACGACAAAAAAGTCCTAGAGGGTGGCTAAACTCTCCTGACCATTTCTATAGAGGAGAAGCGAGAATGCTTTGGTAATGCTCCTTGTAAAACAGAACCTAAAGATTTGTAGGAGAGAATGCTGAAACTTCTCTACTTTCCCTCCGCTGATGCTACTATCATTTTCGCTTCACTTTTTGTTAAATACGAAAAACGAAGAAGTAATGCTTTGAAAGTGATTCTAATCGTCAATAGATGTCACAAGTAAAACTGATTAAAAATATGTATGCTTAATCACCAGTACGTTCTACATCACGTGTATTTTGTGATTAAAAGACAAAGTATGCTTAAAGAATTCATATAGACCATTTTCTAAGTGGATAATAGCTAGTTAAACTAGACATTATAAAAATAAGAAGACAATAAAAGCCAGTCAAGTAATGTGTACATAAAAAAACATTTTATACTTTAATTTTTCATGCATGTGTATCCCTTCTAAATTCTTACCTATGCAAATTATTGATCGACAATGATGACATTTAGTAATAAAATATCCAATAATATAATATCCAAGAAAAGAGATTATATAATAAAAACAAATATAATATCATAAGAATAAGAAAAAGAAAAATTTTGTTTTTGTCGTTGCAATGCAGGACAAATTTAGACGATCATCATTAAAAAAAAATTATGTTGAATGTATATCTAGAGACGATGCAAAAATATATATAATTAAGTGAAAAAGAAAGTTTGAAGAATATGATTACAGGAAAATAGAAAAAATATATATATGAAATCGAACAACAATTACATTTTATTCTAAAGCTACTTCAGTAACCTATGAGTTTGAGTTATTCTATATTTTCAAACATCTGTTTGATTTAGGTAGAAGAAAAATAAAATCTTGTGATCAATATAATAATGATCGAAAATCTTCACATGTTAGTTGAAAAGAAAATGTTAATCACGCTGAATACATTTACATAAATACGCCCACATACTCAAGATTTAGACAAGCTATTAAACATATTTACAAAAATCAAAACTCAGTTTTATTGCATAGACAGTTTTTTTTTATCCTTCAATTTTCAGACTCATTTATGCTTTCGTCATCGTAGTTGACTGATTTATTTACCTAAGTATACCTTTAAGGTGCGTCTCATTGCCATGTATTTTATTTTGCTATTAATTTTTTTCGTTCGATCCAAATACAATCTGTAACAGTTCTGTGACTTGATTTTGTCTTTATATTCTTATATTCAACATAATAAATAGATGTTTTAGTCGAATAATATCTACTTTCATTATTGAACCGTTTTTTATTTCATGAATAACAAAGTGAAAACTAGTATTGATTAGTTCAGTATATATGTGTAAGTATACACTTTTTATCTTCAACAACTACTTATTCAATCTTTTCTATGCATATTCTAACTTTTCGTAAGAAATAATCGGGAAGTCCAAAGTCAATATTTCATATGCATATGAATAAAACGCTTGATATATGCTGCGATGCATTAATACTATTGACTAATTTACATTCTGTATTATTATTTCAATACTAGAATCATTAACATAAATCTAAAGTGACAATCGTGAAATTTATCAAGCATCTTTTTTTTTTTCTTCTTCAATTCAATGACGAAAATGATTTTTATTAATATGTTAAAATGAATACTTTTTTGCTATCATTCTTTTATTTATGTCAATAGAATACAAACTTTTCGTTCTTTCGTATTAGTTTATTTTACAAAAACAAACTGAAGGCCAATCAAAAATGTATGTAAAAAGTATGAAGCAATTACATGTGATGAAATACACTTGTATAAAAAAAGAAATTCAAAGAATAATAATAATAACTCAATACAAATTGTAAAAACAAATAAAGTAATCTCACTACATGTCAATGTCTATATGAAGCTTTGCTTTTTTGTTGTTGTGTATTTATTAATAAAAACTGTTTTTTTTTTCACGGGGCAATCAAGTAGATCGATTTAAATATTTCCCAATCAATCATAAATCACTGACATGCGGTTTACGAAGAAGATTGGTTGATGAATTTCGTTGTGGTGGTTGTGGTTTCAAACCTGGGCGTGGAATACTTGATTTACGTGGAGGGACAGGTGGAACAGGCTTGTTATTAGCAGCTATTGTTGTACTTTTGCTATTGCTAAATGAACTAATCGATAATGATAAATTTATTGGTTTAGTTTGTTTAGATGTTTGCAATATAGGAGCTGAAAGTTTGGGAGCAAATAGAGTAAGTCCATTTTTAATAGGTAATGATAATTGTGGTTGAGTATTCGCACGAAATGATGTTATAGGTTTTTTCAATGGTGGTAGCTGTTTTGAATAATTATTATTCATATTATTACGTATCATTGCTTTAGACTTAACTGGATTTGTTATTTTATTAGCATTATTAAGATTGTTAAGAAAAGTTGATGATGGAGGAGAAAAATCTGTATGATCTAAATTAAGTGAATCAGATTTTGATGTTGTAGATAATGAATCAGTACTTTGACGATCTACGATAGTAGAAAGATGATGTCTATTAATAAAATTCTTCAATAAATAAAATACCTTCTCGTTTTGTTGATATAATAAAACTTTTACTCATTGGTTGTTGAGAATGACGATTAATTGGATTTATTGTTCGATAAGATAAACTTCCAAATGATTGCATTTGTTTTCTTGGTAATGGTGTTGAACCACTAGTTGATGGTGATATTATTTGATTATTTGTTTTATTTAAACTTTCAGTTGAATTTAAACATTGTGAATTTGCTGATTTTAATTTTGGTGAAGGAATTAATGTTGGTTGATGAATAGCTTCTTTTACATGTGATGATGATTGAATAGGATGATACGATGTTGAACTTTGTTGAGGTGAATCATTAAGAACACGTTCAAGTCTCTGACGCAATTCATCCATATAACTAGCTGATTTAATTGGAGAATTTTCATTATCATCATCGTTATCATCATCGTCATCATTAATAGTATTTTTATTATCATTATTGTTATTTGCTGAGTGAAATAGGAAAAACATGAATTGATATTTTCAAAGGAAAATTACATCTTACAAGATACAGACGGATGGTATTCATAATATTGATTATGTGACATTGGTGTTTGACAATCAGGAATAAATAGATCATCATTCTCTGATTGCACAATTGGTATTTCTGAACGCATAGTACAAACAGAAACAAAACGACCTTCAAAGATATTTTTTTTTATCAACATAATTTTTATGAATGGTATTTTCTGTTAGAGAAAAAATACAATTTTGTGAAACAAGATATAAAAGGAGTGTTGAAGTGAAGGAATAAAAGTTTGATCTTCACCCCTCCTAACTGATCGTATATCAATAACGTTTCGTTCGAATATACGAACTAGGTCTATGACAATTGATCTAAACGCAGTTAGTCACAATGGTAAAAAATAAAATCGGTAAAGAAATTTTCTCAGCATCATGGAGAAATAACTTCGAAGGATTCACAAAATAACTAGCAATCTATTCACAAATAAAAAACATTAGATAGAAGTTTGAATACAAATGTTTAATGAACCCTTTTAATTGAGCGTGAAACCGTGCAAGACAATAAGTAGTAGTTGCTTTAAAACTTTCTATAATCCTCTATAGTTTTTCCGTAGTTTGGAGCTCCTATCGGCTGTGACTTTTACTATTCGACAATTGATGATCCTTGGCCTTCTGTAATATTTCGATAAATTCAAAATGTACATATCAACCTTAAAATACTGTTTACGAGAGAGATAATCTACGATCTCATTCCATAGGATAAATCTTCAGTATTCACATGTCAACTGCATCCTGGTGTGCTGCTGTATGTGATTGAATCACATATCTGTAAAAAAAAAAGTTTGTGAGAAATGAAATAGAATCTATACTTCTGTAAAACATGCAAACAATTCTATATTGTGATCAATTATCGTAACACTCATTTGTCGATTTCCCATATGAACTATTTCCTTGTTGCATTTCTTAAGGATAAAAATAAAAGGATGATGAACAAATATGTCCCAAAACACATAGAATAACGCAATTTCTCTGCGTTTAGCAGTAGCAACTACGTCGTGTTTCACATGTCAATCCCATAGAGATTGTACCAACAGTTTTTTCTATGATTCTTGTTTTCTTTTAGGAATAAGCGTAACCATAACGATATTAATGTTCTTCACAGTCGGTAGGAAGAGAAAATGAAAGTTAATGTATGTCTTATCATCCTTTCTTCGTGTATGTTGTTATAAATTTTTCTCAACCTTGTCAAACTTTTTTCTTTATAACGAAAATCTTCTCTATTTTATATTATAGTTTGATATCAAAAATAATTTTTATTACCTGATGAATGATACATATTCATCGCTTTATCCACAAGTAAATAATTTATTTTTAATTGTTGTCCAAACTAAAAAGCAAGACATTCTTATTGTTTTGATCAAAGCTCTTACAAAATATACTTTAGCTATTCGAATATTTATAATCCAACGATCAAATTCATTTTTTGTATCAACACACATATATTTTATATATTTCGAGCTTTTTTTTTGAATCAATGGATGCTAGAAGAAAAAAAAACAAGAAATTCAAATCAATCATTTTTATATCTAGAAACATGGAAATTGAAAATAATAACCTTTAATGCAAAACAAAAGTCACTTGGTGATTTAAACTTCTTTTTCCAATCGAGACCAAAAAATAGTTCAACATTTTCAAATTTTGCCAAACAGACAAGATCTTTCTAAAAATTAAAAATTAATAAATACTAATTACTAAGAAACAAAAATTATTTACTTTGCTTTTGCCTTTAGGCATAAAATAAAGACCTGATGAACGAAGTACACAAAAATGTTTTTTCCATGATTTACGAGATTTTTCTTTTAAATAAATATTTCCTTCAATATCAGGTGTTTGTGATAATTCATCATTTGCAGTAAATGTTCGAAAAAAATTATATTTTTCAAGACGTTTAGTAAAACTAAGTCGATTTGAAGTTACCGTTGGCCACATAAGAATAGCTTCACTTAATTTTTGATGATCTTCAAAAATACGTTCTAAATTTGTAATTTAAAAAATGAAATTATTTTAATAAGATCTTTTTCTTTCGTTATATTTTTACCCATATAAAGATCAGGTAAAACTTCAACAAGAGCATAATTAATATCAGGTTCTCGATGATTTTTATGAATAAGTACAAAAAGAACATCACGTATTAACATTGAATCATCAATGAATATACTTTTTGTTGAATCATCATCATTATATGTACGAATAAGTATTCTTGATGGATGTCGAGCATGAGATAATAATGAATCATCATGATCAAGTATTATTGATGGTGCCTCGTCTATTGGATCTGTTATGGGAGGCACCGTACGATAGACAACCTAAAGAGAAAGAAAGTTCAAAAATATGCGTTTGGGAAGATTTCACTGAATGAAATCTATGAATAGTATATTAGTTTTAAATTGATCAAGACTATTTTTCTACTGAAACTATCACTTACCAATTCAAAAAGATAAATTATTTTTCAATTCAATCATGCCTACATATTGGATGTAAATTCTTTTTGATTTCTAAATTTTATCAATCGGATCGTACAAAGTTATTACAATTTTTTTTTTTGCAATCGAAAAATCACCATGTTCCTGGAAATTCTATGAAAATGATTGTAAAGATGATGAGATTTTAATTCAAAATATGTGTTCATAGTACAATAAAACCGATCAATACCAGCAATGAGAAATCATTTTTAATATTTTCGCAGTATAGTCATATGGACACAAAGTTTCATATAAGAGATACAATCGAAGAGAAGAAAAACAGTAGACTCCTTTATCTTGATTTATTCAATCAACACATTCAACATTTCTTCATCTTGTCATCTGACGAGAGCACAAATCCAACTATCGAATGTCGTTCCACTTAATGCTATGGCTACTAGTAGATATATACAACCCTGAGAAAAGTTTAAAAGGACTGATTGATATTCTCGAGAAACACATATTCGTTTTCGTTTTAAATTTAAACACTTTAGTAACTATTAAATTTGCCTATAGACAAAACTCTTTGCTTTTGGCTTTACGGAAATACCTTGCTCAAAGGAAAAGTTTCATTAGAACAACCACAACTCTTCAACAGTAGATCACGGACTTAAATCATTTGGAGAATTTTTTTGATATCATAAGAAATTACTCATAGATATGATATCAAATCGAACAACTTCCCACTCTTGAATATGTTCTCTGATGAATTTTGTTTCAGTTGATGCAAAACAGAGATGAGATAGATTCACTGTATTTCAAATAAACTTCGGTTCCGGTTCAGTTTAAATTTTGAGAAACTTGAATCGATTCTATCTCTGATGCAAACCTGCATATCTTTAATCATAAGAATAAAATTTTACTATCAAGAGATTCTTACCGATTCATCATGATTAGTTAAGATAACTTTATCATTTGATCCACAATCGCTAAATGCTGAATCACAATCATCTGTAGTTGTAGTCACTTTTGATGTAAATGATACAGAATTATGATTTGTATTTGATATATTATATAAATGAAATGATTCATTGCCAATTTCGTCTCCAACTCCACTTGAACAAGCACTTGAATCTGATGAATTTTGTTGTTGAGAATCAGTATTAGTTATTGTACAATCATTTATTGTTAATGATAAACTTGCTAAAGCAGCTTCAAGTTGATCTTCAAGCGTACGAAGTTCATATACACAACCATTTGTTGAAAATGAAGAAGAAGGAGATGAATATTTTCCTGATGACGATGATGAATGATGATTCATTGTTGGTTTTTGTATTTTATCAAGTTTTGGATATAATAATTGTTGTTGTGAAGATGAAAGATTTGAATTTTCTTCAAATTCAATTTTAAAATCTTGTAATTCAGATAAAATTGCGTCAAGTTCAGCTGAATCTTCTTCTTCTATAAAAGAAATAATTAAAAAAAAAAACTCACTAAATATTATCTATTCGCCAAAATTTCACATATTTATTCATATAATAAATTGTTTTGTTAGTATTGTTCTGATCCTACGTTTTGGGAGTGATATTTAATATATAATTATACGCCGTATGCATGTATTCTGATTGATAATTAAGATAGATAGATAGAAAGAAACGAAGGAAAAACCAAGTATGTATGTTCACACATCTGACTTCGACGGAAACAGTTGTACTTACTTTCTCTTTCTCTTTTTCTTTCTCTATATACTAGTACTTATGGAAGAGAACACACAAAAAAATGAATATTAGAATAGTTATGTAAGACAAAGAGACTAAAATCGTACGAATGAACAAACACAGTTCAATAAGATATAATGCAATGATCATGACAAAGATTTAAAATAATACTTTCTGTCAGAAGATTGTCATAGATTTCAAGTAATAGAATGCAATGCGTGAGTACTGATCTAGATACGTCAATCTCATTTACATTTTTTCTAGACTTACGTTTATAGTATGTTAGTTGACTAACGGAAATTAAAGAATCATATTGTTAGGTTGACCTTTTTTTGGTTATGCTTACAAGGACAAATTTTTTATAACAATGCCAATATATTAAGATGAACAATAATAATTATGCAATCATTTTTAACCTATTTCGTCCGATTACACACTCTATCCTATCATAGAATAATTGATTATCCTTCATATAAAAGTTACAATTAGAATTTTATTTAAATATTAGAAGATTTTCGTATTTTATTGATATATCATTATCATCAATGCCTGAATTATTCTATCATGTACAGTTAAATCATATTATACATGTAAAAGTTTGATTCATCTGCTAAGACAGGTTTATCTTATTACATAATAGTTGTCTGTTAACGAAACACATAATATACTGTTCATTCTGTCACATCTATCATCATCTGTTATCATATATATTATTTCATCAATACATATTTCCTTGAAGGAAGTAGTTATAGAGCAATTGATCGAAAACGCCTCTTGACTTCTGTTGACTAGAGAAAAAAAAAATGAGATTAACTTACCATAAAGATGAATAGAGAATGGCGAATAAGTATTGTTCTTATTGTTCATTTGAATCGAACGCTACAATAGAAAAAAAAGTAATTTGTTAATTATTTTTAAACAATTCATATCTATATTTCTCAGAATTTTCATTATAAACTACAAAGAATATATAATACATAAGAGATCTTTGAAGCTCTTGAACATATTTGCATGAATTGAATCAATGCATACAACAGAGACAAACAATAAACATATTGAGATGTTTAGTGATCGTTATTATCTTATCTATACAAGTGCTAGAAAAACAATTAGATTGAGAATAAACATAATACTTTACACGAGATAAACTACTCAATCAACTTAAATCTTTCAAATAAAACAAAAATTAAATTTAGCTTATATACAGCTGTTCTTCAAAATAATCGTCTCTCATCTGTTCAATATACTTAATTAAATATCTAAAGCAATAGTAGGAAATGTACAGAGCTGAAATATTCCATATAGAAAATTACTAATCATATGAATAGTTATTTAACATAAAAAAAAAGAAACTGTGAACAGAATTTATGGAATAAAGGAGAGGTACAGCAAATCATCTATCATAATTTTTTTAAATTAAAACAGCGAAATTTCTCGTTTTTTTTCGAATAAATTTTATTTAGTCAATAATAGGCTTAAACAAAATTAGCAGTGCTGTAAAGAAAGTTGTAAACAAGAATTCATATTTTTCGAAAAACTTTTATAATATGCATTATTTCTGAGAACATCTTCAAGTTCTATTCAATGAATGTGTGCATGTACATCTGCATTGATTGTTCAAAAATTGTATCATTAATAATAGGATACTTATTAATACTTGTATAACAAAAAAAATAATCGTCGACTTTTTTTTCAATATCGAATGAATTATTGATGAAATCTTTGTTTTAATTATCATTCAAAACATTCGAAAGAAATATTCAAAAATAAATAAATTCATTAGACATCTGTCAATGTTCTTGCTATTTAGTTATATGTGAAATGTCTTATTCTGAAAAAAGAAAATTTTCTAAACCAAACTTTTGCTATACAGTCTTATAAAAATATCAAACAGAATATTGCAAGAAAAGTCTTCAATATATTAGAATTCACATATAATCTTATTGACATTGTCCATGATATTATTCTCTTTTGAATTGCAGCAAGACAAATATGATTTTTCAGATTTCTGTGAAAGATGCAAACAGCCTGAAACCAAGAACTAATACTATCGATAGATCGAGGTCGTTAAATTAATTATACGAACACTCATTTGTTTTACCGGTGAATAGACCGCATCAACTTAGGCAAATACTCAAAATATTATGCTTCTATATACCAGCCTTAGAAATATACAAGAGATATGTTGTCTCAGTTTGAAGCTTTATAATTGAATTTTGCATATAGCTCTAGTGAACGTGCCCAGTGCATATCTGTTATCGATTACTGTATTTGACGGTATAGAGAGTCATAAACGCCATTATCAGTATCGTATTTTTTTCTTTTACTCATGAACAGCATGATCTCGGACAATAATGCTAGACTCAACGCTCAGAAAAAAAGATGGGAAGAGGAGAAATACAGCACGGGTATCATTACAGCAGATTAAAAACCGAAGCACTGATCAAAAAGAAGGGCATCAGTAACTAAAACAGAAGAGGATCTGATGATGACACTTGCGTATATGATACTTGATACTGTCAAATACAGTAATTAGTAATAGATATCAATTAAACATGTTCATAAGCGCTATATTCAATATTCAATTCTAAGGCTTAAAATTGACAAAAATACGTCTCTTCTATTTTTCTAACGCTAACGTATAGAAGTCGAATATTTGTGTATATATCTAAACCGAGTTAGTTAACTCGCTGTTAAAAGATATAGTTGTTCGCGTCTTTTACAGATACCCAAATTTTTCTATTGTATGATTACAATATTATTTTACAATGGAAAGAAGATTCTGCAGCGGACGAACAATACTATTGTCGAAAGTTCTAAGAATGCGATAATCGGATTTCGGTAACTAGCCTACAGGATCCAATCGAAATTATGAGTATCAGATTTGCCTGGTTGCACATGGGTACTTAAATTATCAATCAAATTTGATTAATGCTTAATTGTCTAAAAAATTCTTTAAAAAAGAAAACGAAAAAAATATACATATCACTGCATTTTGTCGTCTTCTTCATATCTTTCACTGTCTCATAATTGACACATGCCGTTAGTACTCTATTTTCGTAATTACTTCCCAATGTCAAATATAATATGCAATCAACAGGATGTTCATCACACTTAAACAAACAGTATCATCACCTACTGCTGTTCATTTCATTTATCATCAGGCATCAGCAGTACAAACATATATATACATATATTTGAGCTCAAGTATGTAATCTTGATAATAGAATATATTTCGCCGTATGCGTGCCATTAGCCAAGCAAATAGACTTCTTTTCTTTCTCAATATATATATATATATATATAGAGACAGTTCAATATATAGAAATGACAACAATGTAAAAAGGTCAAATGATGATAGTACTTATAGAAAGGCAATCATGCAAAGAATGGTCCCAAGCATGATGAGCACAACTGCTCGACGAACAATTTCTTTTAACAGGCGCGTGTAGTGCGATAGATTGACCTTGAATCTGACATCAATGAGCCATGTATAATCAATGTCATTATAGAACAATGCCAACTGGATAGTTGGGCGATACGAGATAGTGCGATTTTGTTATTTCTCTTGAAGTCATTTATATTTTCTTCACTGATCATATTCATTTTCTCAGAAATTTATTTAAACAAATGGAGTTCACTTAAAAATCTAGTAGAGAATGTCAAGAGATTTTTATTAAAACTTACTGTTCGTGAAAATGATTGTTTAAAACTTTGTAATACTCGATTCGCTGCTTGCTCTTCACTTTTATCTTCTGGATTTTCATTATTATCGTCAAATTCCTGTTCTGATTCAGATAATTCGGAATCCCACTCCGAAATGGATGATGAACGATCGAATTGTTCTTGTTGTAATGAAGGCGACAGCAATTGGTCTACTTGTGTTATTGTTTCATCAAATGTTTCCGATTCATCTTCTTCCTCAATCGAAGACATACTACAACGTCGCACAAGAAGACGATTCATTATAAATCTGAAACGAACACAGAAAAATTAGATAGACAACTGTTACAAAATTATCAAAAACAAAATAATTAAATGCCTATTGAGATAGTTCTTACATATACTATCATATGTATATATTACAGTTTTTACTCTCTCGTTTAAAGGAACTCTCACACATACAATGATCCATCGAGGATTAACTGTATAGCACATGCCAGGAAAAGAAGAAAAAAAAGAAGAAAAGGGCTAATCTAGTTAATTGTCACCACATCCATATCATCAAATCTACACTATACAAAAGAATGGCTGATTATGAAACAAAAGTACAAATGTAACACTATGTATATATATGCATATATTTATCATATGAATCACGAATGAAAAAGAAAGGGTTTTCAATATAGAACTATGCATTTTTTTAAAATTAAACACCTGTCATCTTGGTTGTAATAATAGAATCTAATATTAATTTTAAAATATTATTGAACAAATACATAGCAAAAGAAAGACATAATGATTGCACATGTTCATCGTTTTATCTATACTTCAAATTATTCAGTTTATGTTTTGATTATTGTTGAATTTAACGAGAAGATTGTTGAAATAAGATGAGAAACGTAATAATCTACAAGAAAGTTATACCTTTGATCCTTTTACGCCTTGCATTTTGCAAATTATATCTAAAGTGCGATGACAACTTGATCGACATTTATAAATAGATACTTACAGCTATACTTCATTTTCTCTTTTTTTCTCGTTAATATTTCATATATATTAACACATACCCAATGTTTATTGAGCAAGTTTTCTTTTTCTGCTTGTTTAGCATCTACATATACTAGTGAATGTTTGTGGTCTTTCATTCAGCTTTGATTTCTCACTTTTTCTTCTCTGATTAATACATACACACACACACATACTCTCTATTTCTCTCAATATCTAATACATGTACAAAAAGAAAGGAGAGTTATATGGAGGTAATTATTGAAGAATAATACAATGTTGGCGGATCGTCTTGATTAGCTACTTGCTGGTGTCGATGTTGCAATGCGATCAATTTATGCAACAGTATTGTATGCATCTATGACATAAATGACTCTGCATATGATCATTCACACTCGACACAATATGGTTATTGTTTAGCCAATAGACTATACACTGCTTGTTAGCTTTGTCGGCGTCGGATGGTATCATTCTATTTCTTTGTCTAACACTCGTCTTTATTTTTTCCTTTTCTATCTGTAATAAAGAATATTCTATGCACAAATGAACAGTCACAACATGCTTGTATCAATCATAGTAAATTGTTCGATGTTCTAGTCATTGTAGTAGATCGATTAGACAAGAAAACGATCGAAGAATTATTACTTTAAGATGAAACACGCTTTCTAACAATCTTTATCTTTTTAGTCGTGTTATAATAAAATGACATATTCTCAATGATTGATCATACGAAGAGAAGATCAAAACTTATTGAAAGGAGTATCAGTAAATACAATTTAGATATCTATTATGTAATACTTACATAGAATGATGGCGTGTGTTCAGCACATGAATGAATAAATATATTTCAGTGATGTAAGTACTAGTCTATGACTATGTCCAGTCTATGTATATCAATTTATTCAATTGAATGAAAATAAAAATGAAACAGGAAATCCATGAAACTGGAAGATATGAAGTATTTTTGACTTCGATAGATCGGCTATTCATAAAGTAGCACAACATTACTTGATTTGTCAAGGTGATTACAGGTGTTATATGACGAGTAGAAAAGACAAATCAATTGATACTCTGCATATGAATGAATATATGATGAGACATAGATCGAATGATCATAAAAATTGTTGAAATAATTTTCAGAGTAACAACACATTGATATTTATGTTCTCCTTAAGCAATCAAGCTCTAGACAATAATGGATGTTTTATTTTTGTGTTAATCTTTTTTGTTCGAATGAGCAGTTGATGTCGTACTAATGTTTAGTTTGCAGTGATGGACAACAAATATAGAATAAGATACGTAATTTAAAATCTACAGCTAGATCGACCGATGAAAATTGAAAAAATACACGATCTCAGACAGATTTGATGTTAAGATGTTCGTTTCACATAAAATTTGCTTATTCATAAGCAAGCTGATTTGATATATTTCGATAAACCATATGTAGAAGATTTTTAAAAGTTCGGAGTCTCAATAACTTAAATGATAAGTAATAGCAAATATGTAGTTGTTAACTTTCTCACTATTTTAGACTTATGTCAGATGCCTTTTTTTTTCATTTGATAGAGTCTCACTCGTAATCAAAGTATAAAATAACAAAACGACCGATAAATGCAAGTAGAGATGAAACTAATACTAGTTATCGATCTATCTGGCCTATTCAGATCGGTACCGGTATTAATAGTGAAAAATCCAGGTCAGTTCCAGCTCTGAATGCGAGAATTGATTCTTTTTTGATAGAATTAAAAAGTAAGAAAAGATGAATTGTATGTCAGCCTTAAAAAAATATCAATGTTGACTAAAAGACAATCATTATTCAATAATTATATCCTGAACTTAGTACATTCGTTCAGGATATGCTGCTACCGATGTCACAGAAAGCTTTGGATACTTGACGGGTTTTTATCAGTTGACTACAAATTGCTTCTAAATGTTCATTCTACTAACTTGTTGAAAAATCTTTTACGTAGAATGCTATAGAAACTCAGCAGATACCTGGTAAATACCCATACCCTGAGACAATTGTAAGTAGCGCACTTGACGAGGTACTCTGCTGAAAATTAATCGGGTAGATGACTACCTTAAACTTAGCACATATACTAGAGATTTCAAGTCTATCACGTTTTTTTTGTTAAAAACAAAAAATAAATTCTCAAATAAGATTGAAATCTCACTGAAGTTTTGGATTACAGTTGTTCTTCAAAGGTTATGAGTACGCATCCTCAAATACAGATTTCATATTTTAGTATTTGATGAATCGTATAAAAATTTATTTTTCAACTTGTTTGCTTATTCATATAATTCACAAAGCAATAGATAAGATGGAACGTCTATGTACATATTTTTGACAAAACAATTTATATGTATATGCCATAACTAATCGCTTGTATTTTTTTGTTTGATATTAAATACTATTTATGACTTCTTAAGACTAAAATCAAGGTAACAGTAACTGCAGTTATAACAACAACAAGAATGAGTAAAAAAAGTCCATATAAGAGTATTTTTTTTCGACGATGTGATGTCTAAAAAAGAAAAGAAAAATTATTTTTTAATGACATTTTTTATTATCCAAATTAATGCATACAACTAGTTGACCAGGAGATGCTAACTGTTGACCATCCGTGCTATTTTGATTATCAACAACATATGAGCCTTAAAATAGAATTAAGCGTTAAATAAAACTTTTTACAATATACTTTACTTACTGGTAGGCAATGATTCTAATTTAACGCTTCTAGTACGATTAGCAGGTATGTCAGTCGATGAATCAGTTTGTTTCTGACAATAAAATACGATTAATGTATCATAAGAGAAAAAGTAACTTACGCCGAAACTCTGAAATATATCAAATTGTTCTTTGTCGTCACGTGATAGGGTACGATTTGATGTCTGCCCTTGTTCAGCATCGTAATAAACTGTTTCTGTAGATTGTAATAAATCAAACATCTTTATTTCTCTAATCGACTCAATACAACACTTATTTGTATATATATATGTAAAGTCTTTTGCCCTCACTAGTCACCTTTGTTAAAGTGATACCACAATGACAAAAAAAAAGAAAGGTAGAAGTGTGAATAGATAATAAAAGATAATGATATTCAGAAACAAAGTACAGCTTGAAGAATCAACAAGAAAGATTTATTAATATAGTTAATACTAAAAGCCTTGTTCTTCACACTAAAAAAACAATTTTTAAATAAAAACTGAGTTTCATATATGATTTAATTAATAGATTTATGAAAATTCAATTATATTGAATCCTTGGTTGTGATACTTATTTGATAAAATAAAATGCTAGTACCTAAAAACACTAAAACATTTGATCGAATGTTATGCCTTAATGAATCATGACGTGTGATGAAAAATGATTGGCCAGTTATTCGTACTTTTACTTTTTATCATGTAGTAGCTTGGATTCAACAACGAAGCATAATACAAGATACAGCATGACAAGCTCTACAAATTAAAATAAGAATCTTATTTATATATACACGCTCTGCTCTCTAGACATAAACAAAATTCTCTGCAACTACAATTTTCGACTTCATGAACAAGATCATTTTATTGATACACGACAAATTTATTATTTAAAACTCATAGTTTTTAACTGTAACTCATTGAATAATATTAGTGATAGTGTTCTATACATAATAATCCAAAATATTGAGATCAAGACTAGTCATCTGTGATTGTTTTATAAAATCCATGAAATTCTTTTGACGTCATGTCAATGATATGTATATGGCGTACTGTGGTCTTATTAATCGGTGAAACCTTCGTACAGAAGTTGTTTGTCTTCAAGTAGCGTATGGAAAAGAACAACTTTAATATAATTGGAGATACAAAAGCAATTTTTAGATGCATCTAACCATATCATAAATATTTTTGAATACTTACAACGGAACATACCCAAGTATTGAATATTATTCGAGGTCATACTTTTTTGGCTATTAGTAAGATTTAGTGAGACTAAAGAAACTTTAAAAAAGTTAGAATTCATGACGTGCCTCCTAGCCGAAGATCTATTTGCCACATAAATGTAGGAATGCGAATGTTTTTTTTAGTTTCTCCTCTGCTTTTTTCTTTTTTTCAAGAAATTAGGGTCTGAAAATTTTAACGTTGAGTTTTCATTTAATATACGAGGCAAAATCATATTCATACAAGAATGTTTGATTGGATTTTGAGGCTTACTGCTTCATGTTACTTCAGGAAGAAAAAAATGAGTAAAGAAATTGTTTTTTCTTAACTTGAGAACCATGTGAGCGTAAACTGCAGTGTATATTCTACGAACTAACTTAATCATTTTCTCATATTCTGTTTCGAAAATGTCCCCGGTCACTTTAATAGCATTTCTGATGAGCACCTGAAATGCTAAAGAAACTGATTTTCAATTCATTCAACACTCTAAAACAGCAGAATGTTACAGTTGATGATGTATTAAAGAATACTAACATAGACGAAGAACTCCATGGATTAGCTTGTTCTTCTTGTTGTCACTTCGTATAAAAAAAAAGACAAGTCTTAATTTCACTATTATGTTACATGATAGACTTAATGAACGTAATCCTCCCAAGATTGGTCAGACCTTTTTGAATGAATATGATTTTGACGCGTGTATCAAACAAAAAACTCTTTGTTAAAATTTTTAGGTGCTAACTTCTTGAAATGAAGAAGAAAAGTCAACGAGAAACTAGAAAAACTTCCTTTTCTTACAATTTTGTAAGAATCAAATCACCATCAAGGCATGCCATGAGCTTGAATGCATTTAAAGTTTTCTTGGTCTCACTGACTCTTACTCATAGTGAAAATATGAGATCAAATAGCATCCGAAACTTGGGTATGTTTTCTTGTTAGCCTTTTGGCTAATTTGTCTTCTTTTTTCTCTGTTTCTGGTTGATTTGTAGCATAAACATGCTCTAATGAATAATATTTTCCGTCATTGAATAAAATTCTCTTCAATCGATGAGTCGAAGAATCAAATTGATCATTTACTCTGACAAATTGCTATGTTCATAGCATCTAAAACTGATTAAATAAAGTTTTATCTTTTAATTTGGTTTTGAATAAAACGTATCAAATAATAAAAAAAATAATACATATGATCGGTCGTTCAAATTATAAATCACCTGTTAGTTATATTATGTTTTCTACTATTTTAGACGCAGTTAGAACTACGAAATCCAAGTAACATTTCGTTTTAGTTTAATAGAGTACAGTTCGTTCAGATGAATATCTTTGTTGAATAGAGATGAACAGAAGAATAAATTTCTTCTTGCAATAAGTGTTTGACTCTTCTGTTGTGTCTAATCTATTTTCATAACTTCAAATAAAAAAAAAAGTTTTTCAATAAATCAAAGCGATTTTACAGATTTAACAAATGACTTCTTAGAGTTTTATCAGCTCAGAAAATTAGGTATATTTTCATGTAACTATTCTAGTTAAACATTCAATTTTTCAACAAATCAATTAATTAATCCTTAAAAACCGAGTGTTCCTTCCAAGTGACTTGAGAATAATTGTTATTGTAAATTTCATAACACTTTACATGCAAGAACTATTATATGCCCAAGCTACGATGGTCTTATCAATCATAAAATAAACATCAAATCTGTCTCACTTGATTGTCAGATGGCACAGCAAAGGTTTTTGAGTCGATATTTTTTTAAAACTCATTTTCTTCTCTAAAGACTTTGTGTACTGATAATTACTTCGATGTTTTCTTTAGAATTATTATAGTCCAGCACAACGTCAATCTATCGGATAAAACTGTTGGATAATTTGTTAAACGGCTTATTGACTCATAGTGACATAATGAAGAAAGTGCCTTTGAGAACGAGCATTCGATCATAACGACATAAAATATTCTATCAATTCATGAATAATTGAAAAACTATTTGAAGCATTATGCGAACAAATTCTTGACTATTTTGAGTCCTTCTAAAGACTGCCGTGAGGTAGGATGAAGTGATGGTTGTCTGCTTTTTTGATCGTCAAAAATTTGTTTCGCCCGTCGTAAAATTACTGATTTTAATTCAATTTGCGACACGTGTCAGTGCTCACACAAAGTACTGTTATAATGCAATGGCAAATGTAAAAGTGTTAAAAAATTGTAAATATTCTATTTAATAGATTCTTAGTGTTATATAAAATTAATAAAGAGAATAATTTGTGAGGAAAAATTTTCTCACATAAATTAAGAAAAGTGACACATTCAAGCCGTTTCCAAGGCACACTTTGCATCTCTATACGAAAAACAAGTTATGTTTTTTAAACTATAACATGATCTTATTTACTGTTGAAAATTTCAATTTTAGCGGTCTATTTTTTTCTCATCTTCAAAAAAACCATCTTCAGTTGTAAGAATTAAGCGGAAATGGGAGCTTCTATTACTTCTGATATATCGTTTCCACAAAGGGATCTTCTATTTCAAGGAATAGACTACTTGAGACTGTCATCATTTACATATGTGTCTAGTCCTTGTTTTTCAATGTCAAGAGTCAATAGAAAAACAGATTGAGATGAGAAAATTATTTTAACATTCACTATAACCTTAGAAGTAAAGTATGAAATGTCATCAAATGAATATAATATTAACATATTCTTCTTTTCTACATGAAAGTGATTAGAACACGCTTATTTTATGCTTCATCTTTAATCAAGGTAAACGAGGATACGGTATATTGAATAATATTCGACATAAATGAGTACTTCAATGAAAGGCAACAATGAATAAAATTTTGATAAAGATTCAATCTTTTTTGAAAGTAATCAAGATAAAAATGGTACAAAAACGACGGCATACAATAAATTTTCCAGACAATTTTGAACATTTTTATGAAAAGACGTATGTACAAGAAAAGCTTTATTTTTTCAAGAATTCTATTTTCTAGAATATTAAAAAAGCAACATGATAAAATTGCACTAACATTCGATGTAATAATAATTATTTATTGTTGAAGTCATTTCAATAAAAATAAAAAAAAAAAAACATTTTATTTATCGATTAATATATTAATTATCTAGACAAACAATTTTCTTTTATTTATTCGTTTCATTTAAAAAGTTAAATTCTTTTGCTTTTAATTAAACTTCGGTACTTTTAAATGTAGAAACAATGACTGGATTTTCTGCATAATCTTTTTCGGGTCTTCCATATACAAGATTAGCTAATTCCGATTCAAGTTCAGAATCTGTAACTGCAATAACAGGATGTGCACATGGTTTACTTAATGTATTACTAATTTTATCTTGTTCATTGATTATAATTTGAACATCTGGATCGATACCCTGTGTTTCTGTATTTGATATCGACTTATTATTATCATCATTATTTACTGTAAAACCTTTTGATGATGATAATGTCTGCAAAAGTTACTATGAAAAATGTGTTTCAGAACAAAAATTGAATTTTTATTTCAAAGTGGAATACCTCTGCTGGTGATGATGACATATTTGGTTGCAAATTCTTATCTAAAAGTTACATATAACTATTTAAAAAAATAGACAAAAAACATATATAAAAAAAATTTAAACCTTTGGTTTCGGATTCTGGTTGTTTAGTTGAATCGACTGAAGGTTGATAAGATTTTGCTTTTTTTGATTTATTTTTACCAGCACATGCACCCATTAAGGAAAAAAAAGAATAGAAGTTGTTGCGAATATGTTTATGGTATATGTAAAAATAGTAGACTTCTCCTGTCTTTTTTTTTTTGCTGTTTATCACCTCAACTTTTTTCTTTCTTGTTCTTCGTATTGACTCATCAGTCTTACCAAAGAAGTAGAGAGGGAAAAAAACGAAAAAAAAAATGAGATTGGTATGTTTCATTCAAAATAGTCTCGAGATAAAACCAAAGATGCAGAAGAAAAAAGCATTTGTTTTTTTCTTTTTTCATGTTAACATGTAAAAACTAAAAAGAAACAAATAACATTATCATTCATAAATGACTGTGTGGTGATTTATAGTAGATTTTTACTTTTAATGAAATTGTTGGTTTTTTTTGTGGCACTATTGAACTAATGCAAAAATTATATGAGGGAAAAATCTTCAATGGTAATTTTTTTATTGACAAACTGTGTGTTTGAGTATACGATTAGTGTCATTTTCATCGTATTAGAGACAAGGATAGTCTATAAAATTGATAAGAATTGTGCGCTTTGTCGCCCATGCTAGCAGCTGTCATCATCGCCAATATTTAATATTATTAGTAGGCTGTATAAAAGCAAATATGTCGCAAGGAAGGAGTAATATTCCGATGGAATCGTGCGAAACAGTTAAATCGGGCATTATTGCTCTTTCGACAAGACTAATTCAAGAAACTATTGAAAAAGCACTTAGTTTGTATATGTATTCTATACTTTGCCACTTATTTATTAAATATTTATTATTATTTAGATATTATTTATGAAGATATGAATCATATGGATAAGAATACTCAGTCATTCAAGCCATCGATTAATAAAGTACATGTTTAAATGGATAAGACATTGATGAGTTTTTAAACTATATTATTTGTTACCATTTATCTTTGAATTCACACAAAAAAAAACAAATTTCTCTTCATTTACTCGTTTTTTTTTGTTATCTTGACTTCTGATTTGTTATGATAAAAAAATAGAGATAACTTGAATTTAGTTTTCTTTTCTTCTACAAACTCAGATTAAATTTGTATTTTTTAAAGAACTGAGAAAAAAAAGCCACAAACAAAAAGATCGGTAATAAAACTGGACGAACTATTCTTTCTAAAAATATAGAAAAAAAGTCTATCATATTCTTCGAAACCTTTTCTAACAACATTGCCAATTGAAGGAATAAATCTTGAAACATTTTTACTAGTTTGGCTCGATCTTGATGTTAATACAAGTGATGAAAATAGAAAGACTCAAATTCGTTTACGAAAAATTCTCAGATATCTTGTTACATTTGACAATATTGAATGATGTATAAAATGGTTGAAAAAATCTGATACCGATGAATAGATTGTACCTATTGTATCTGGTACTTATGGAGAAATACTTGTTCCAAAAATTCATTATTTCTCATCAATTATTTTCATTTATGTTTATTATTTGGATGTTAATCGTAATAAACCTTAGGCTAAGACTTATTCGAAAATTCGAAGCGTAGTTTCAGACATCAATGATCTTTTGAATCAACTATCTATGAACTAAACTAATCTTGAAAGTGTCAAAGGTTCAAAAGCATTACAAATATATTCGCTTGATATTAATACTGCTTCATATATATATAGTACAATCTTTTACTTGATATTCTTCTATCCAGTGATTATTTATCATTGAATAGTACATTTTATGAACTTATTCAAATTCCTCAAGAATATAGTTCTAATGATGAATATGGTTCTAATTTAATATCTCAATTTGAACAAACATAAGAGTCACAACAAGCTATATATTGGCTCACAAATGATACAGCTTTAATACGCTTTGTTAATAAAGCATTACGTGAACAAGATATATACATATTATTTGTATTACGTTTTCTTCTTGTTGATATTCATAATAAATTAATTCAATATCAAGCAGATTCATTAAATACATTTCATATACAACCCATGATGAAATCTCAAATAGAAAGTATTTTAGCTTATTCAAGTCAATTATTGGTTTTTAGTGGATTTTTATTTGCATCAACAAATAAGCCTCGAATAATATCTAATATGAACAATAATGATCAATTTGAAACAGTTTTGATTGATTTTAAAGAAAAATATCGTTCTGATGTAGCACCTTTTGCTTTTCTTCGCGATATCAATTCTAATATTAATAAGCAAATGAATCAGGATCAAGAAGTTATTTTTATGTGTGGTTTAATATTTCAAGTTGGTTCATCATTATTTAAAAATTGTATATGGACACTTGAACTATCATTAAGCAGTGATGGTGATGTGCAGTTATTATTGACAATGACACAACAATTGAAACGAAGTCATAATTTATGTACTATTAGTGATTTACTTATTCATTGTAAAAAAAAAACAGATAAGGCAATTATTTATTATCAGTGTCTTCTCAATAAATTGCTTGAAAAGCATGTCTTAATGTCACAAATAAATAAAGAGTTAGTCAAAATAATGCCTGCAGTAAATTCAGATAAATAAGAAACATTTTTTTAAGAACAGTAAAATTCTAAAAGTATTCCTAAGATTAATTCTAATTCAATCATCAGGTACCTTGAAATACTATTTGTGTAGGAAAGTTGTTAACGGTTATCAGCCTGGTAAAAAGACAAATTAACGATGAAAAAAACAACGGAAGTCACTGTAAGAAACAAGACTATGTTTAAGGAAAATTTTCTATCGGATGAGTACTCATCGGATACTAAAGCTTGCTCAAAAAAATAATGGCCGTGGATATTTTTGCAATAACTCAAGAAAGGAAAGAGCTAGAGAGCTGCAGTTTTTACCGTTCCGTAGCCAAATGAATACTCTATATAACCATCAATAAATACTGGAAATCCTTGCGTTTTCAGTGTTCTCTCACCACGAACCTTTCAAACAGTTCATTGCGGTTTTTTTAAGTTCCATAGATATATATATATCTAAAGTATGCAAAACATAGCCCAGTGATGCTTCTACAAAATCACGCAAGGCTGAGCTCTCTAGCTATTATGATTCAAGATTGGTACCTATTTTCCTGAGATCCATGCAAGTCGTTTTTCTCAGTGCGATAGTTTACGAGTTCATACAACAAAACACCTTGTTGATCATGGTATTCTTTACGGGAACTACTGTTCTGAATCTCAAACAACTTTTGTAATTGAACATGAGAAGTTAGATTATGCAGAAGGGTCATAGATTCAAAATATGTAATTAAAATGCAGGAAAAGCAAAAAAGTGGAATTTTATGAGAATATATTGGAAAATGTCATTAATTTATACAAACGAACATTTAACTTTTATATGCAGTATTTATTTTATTTTTGTATAGTCTTTGCCACGTTGCATTAGTATTCTGAGGGTCGCACATTTCCTTTCTTTTGAAGATTTTGATCATTCAAGATTCCTTCCGAAAAAACAACATCAACAACACCACAAAGGTGAATGTATAGGCACATACACTGATTCACTGTTTATTTAAAAAAGACGATTACGGTACACTTAAAGGATACTAAGAGTAGCTACAAAACGTGACAGAGACGATGCAAAAATGAAATAAATACTGCATATAAAAGTTAAATGTTCGTTTTTATAAATTAATGACATTTTCCAATATATTCTCATAAAATTCCACATTTTTGCTTTTCCTGCATTTTAATTACATATTTTGAATCTATGTGACCCTTCTGCTATGTTTTGCATACTTTAGATATATATATATGGAACTTTAGAAAACCGCAATGAACTGTTTGAAAGGTTCGTAGTGAGAGAACACTGAAAACGCAAGGATTTCCAGTATTTATTGATGGTTATATAGAGTATTCATTTGTCTACGGAATGGTAAAAACCGCAGCTCTCTAGCTCTTTCCTTTCTTGAGTTATTGCAAAAATATCCACGGCCATTATTTTTTTGGACAAGCTTTAGTTTGTAGGGAAAGTATCGAGCTACTGAATTTGCCAGTAGGCAGCGCTGTATATCGCAAGATAATCGAAAGGAAAAGATATATAATTTCTTCTTCTTTCTCTGCAATTTCCTAGAGGAAAGTATACAACAATTTTGACTCTGCGATAATGTTTGATCTAAGCATGAAAAATATATCATTTTTAAATGTTTTAGCATTATTTGATAAGCTGTTGTTCAAAAAGTTAAAAAATAATCTTATTTAGATCCACTAAACAAGAAGTTAAACAAATATTTCATTAAGATGGATCATTATCGAAATGATTTTATTTTTTTATCTCTAGTACTCGATTTCCATAAAGTAATATAATCATTACTATGCTTTTTAAATCCTTTACTATAATACTAAACTATCTTGAACTCAAACCTTTAAATCATTAATTATCCATTTTCGATCATTGATTTCAAACAAGCAACTTTATTTATGAAATAAGTTCATTGCTTCTTAGTCCTCTATGATTTGTCGAGCATATTTTGGTTAGCATGCATCACCTGTATGTCAAACACTGATTTGTTCACACATACACACTAGTAAAAAATTTATATTTTCGTAGCAGCAATAGATTTTATCAATCTCAAAATCTTTATTTGCATGATCAGTCTGTTATTTATTATTCAATATCATGTTCAAAAGTCTTTATTTAATAAGATAAAAGAAATAACAGATGAAATAACGAGAAAGACTTTCAGTTCGTATATTTAACTATATATTTATATGAATGTTTCCGTAGTAAAGTTTATAATAACGAATATACATAAAGATATTTTGTACAGTGAAACGAAGGGAAAAAGGTACTTAAAATAAAAATAAGAACTCAACGAGAATAGCATCAATAACAATAACTACTGTTCATTAACATGATCACATTGAATGCCTACTTCTGCATACGTTTTTCCTGAGCATAACCAACAACCAGATTTTATTGGTTGATTAATAAAAGCCATTAGTAAATCATGATCTATTGTACAATTTTGTTGTTGAACTTTTGATGATCGTGATTTTTGTTCTTCACCTAACATAGACATAACATATTGTCTTAATTTTCTTAATTCTTCTTGTTGTTTTTTTATTTTCATTAAAATCATATTAACTTTCGCTGCTTTATCTTCATCAGTCATCGTTATTGATGTCCTTCGAACTTCATCCGTTAATTGTAAAATTTGATTGTTTCCATTAATGTCGTATTCAGTAATCCAATCAGATGATAATTCTTGTTCTTGATTATTAACCGTTGAGATTGTTTGTTGTTCTTGTTCTTGTTCTTGTTCCGTCTTCATTGTTAATTGTTTAGTTTCTTTCTTTTTCTTTTGTAATTTTTTATGCAATCGTTTTTGACGTTTTAATTCTTGTTTTCGTTCAGCATCGGCAGCATCAAGTTCACTAACTAACATAACACGTTGTTCATTAATATCTTCATCATTCTGTTCTATTAATTCATCATTGAGAGGAGGAAGAGGAGGTCGAGGTGGAGTTGATACTGGAGGCAGCTCTTCTTCATCACAATTCTCGATAAGAAAACCTGAACATGGTGCAGATTGTAGGTCTTTTTGTGAAGTTGAGTCACATTCGATGATCTGGTAAAAAAATAGAACAAGAAAAAAAAAAGATTTGTTGTTGATAAATTATTATTCAGAAAAAAAAACATCGTCCAAAGTTACTGAAAATGAAAACCTGTTCAGGTATCAAATCACTTTTTCAACCGAGATGATGTTCATTTAATGAGTGCTAGTGAGTAATAGAAAAATCTAGAATGATTTTGTTTTCTGGACCTTCACTCTTGAGTTATCGAAAATTTTACTAGATTTTTTAATGAGACACTGTCATCGCCCTCAGGTCGCATGGAAAATCAACTTTCAAGGTTTACATCAAGCTTTTCACAAGCACAGTTCTTAATGAGATTAGTTCATTTTTGAATCTGTGAGAATAGGAGATACTAGAAAAGTTACAAGTTATTCAATGAACTATTCTCATTAAGATCTTTGTTTATGCAAAGTTTGAAGCCAAAACTTAATTTTCCGCGTGATCCGAGACATACGAAAAACTTAGTAAAATTTCGATATCTCAAAGACGAAGGCCCAAAAACCCAAATTATTCTAGATTCTTCTTTTACTTTCTAGCAGTCATCAAATGAACATCGTCTCGGTCGAAAAGCAATTTGACATCTGAGAAGGTTCACTCGTAAATTATGATTAACCAAGATTTAAACATGTTTAAATGTCTAATCAATGAATAGAAAGAATTCAATTAATGAAAATGTTCATTATGTATTTCATTAACTGTAGAAAATATCAAGAAAAAAGCGTATCAGCGCAAACTCTTTCAAACAAAAATAAGAAACTCATGCACTTGATTTAGCCTTATTATATTATAAGAAATATGTTAAATAAAAAACCTCTAGTAGATTATAGTTGTTTTTCAAGAATAATCAATTATCAAGGAAAAGATTTCTCTTAATTATTTCTGTATTTTGAACGTAAGAACAAAATTAGTACGGCATATTGCTATGGCACGGATACTTTCGATAATAATAGAAATTTTCCAATAATTGAAAATAATTTATACATATACATTCAAGCTGTAAATGTCGAGAAGCATCGTCTGAAAATTTCTAGTCATAATACTGTTTCATTGTTAAATTTTCATAAAAGATCAAAATCCAGCAAAGTATAGTTTCGTTTCTGTACGAATTTCTTCTTTCTTTTCACTTACGATGGAATGTCTTCAAAATAAAAACGGATTGTATATAGTTGCATCTTTTTGTCTGTATCTATTGCAAAAGAAACTAGTTTAAAAACTAAATCTTAAAACTGTAGATATTACTTTTCCTGAATGAGAGACTTTGTTTTTGGCTATGTTATAAACACAACGATTAATAAAACATTCGTGTCCAAATATAGATCGGCTTGTACCCGTAAAGCTTCACCTCAAGCACCGGAAGTTTGAACTCATTATTTTAAAAACTCATGATTATCATCTTGTAAAGCATAGACTAAAGTGTATGAAAACATATTTTGTTCTTTTAATAAGTGCTTTAAATCGTATTTAGTAGTTGATAAAAGAGAGGTCACTAATAGAGAAAGAAAATTCTCTTATTTAGACCAATAATTAATCTCACCAATATATTGAAATAGCTTGATATATACAACATTGATTGAGACTATTTATGACTACGATAACAGATGTATCTTTTGACATAACATTTGATTTTCTATATATCATACTTTTTCCGCAGAGAGCTTAAGGAAAAGTACCCTATTTATAACGTCCATTGTGTAACGAAAAATGTGTATTGTTTGTTTTTCACAAGTTAGTCTGAAGTTTTTCTTTTTTTTTTACAAAACATATATATACCTAAAGCTAGTTTTTTATGGGCTATCTGATGCTACTATTTTTATTAGAAATAGGTTCCAATTTATAATGATTCTACGTAACGCGATGGCAGTTTTTACCTTTTTTTTTTTCACTTTTCATATTTTTAAAAGTGCATTTTCAAAAAGCGATCTATCATTCAAAACTCATTGTTAGATATGAGTAAAAACT